ATTAATAATTTCATTTTCAAACATTATAATGTTTCATTCCCCAATCTGCATTTAGTTATTAACTATAATAATAACAATAACTAAAATTTTATACTTTTTAATAATTGTTAAATATAAATCTCAAATTTATAGAAATTAGTTAATGAGTTTACAATTTCTCTAAAATGTTGTTAATTAACATGAATATAATAGTAATTACCCAAAATACTTTAAAAAGTCATGGTGAGTTAATAAATAACAATATTTATTAATTTTTGGTAATTTACTAACTGTACTAAAAAAATATTTAATTTTTTGATAGTTTAGTAGCCGTATATATTAACTTTTGGTAATAACATTGTTTAATACTCATTTCATATGGGTTTGATTAAATATTAATTGTATTTAACTATTTATGAATTTATATGAATAATTTAAATGAGAGAGAGTGGATATAGATTAGGGGAGAGATTTTAGGAATTGATTGGGGAGTGGGGTAATATGATAAGTTCCTAATCGTTTAGAGGAGATATCTTATGAGAGAGATTCTAGAAATATTTTTAGATAGTTGGGTTGGAAATGATGAAATGGCATCATGGGAGTGGTGGCAAGGGGAGAGGAGAGAGGGTCAAGGATAATGCAATGTGGGGTTAATGGAGCAAGCAGAGGCATGCTGACGTGGACCGTCTATATATATACTAGTGGACGCCATGCACAGTTTGCTAAGCAAAAGTAAACAATAGAAATACATAAGAGTATATACTTGTTTTTTATATTTTAACTTTTTAATAACCGATATGATTGAACTTGACCAAAGTTTGTCAGTTTGTATTCTAATCGGTTTTGGTTCAACAATTTTCCAACCCGACCGAGTTAGGTTAGTTTTGATTTGGCTACACATGGCAAAAAGTTGACCCAACCCCCCCCCCCCCCCAAAAAAAAAAAATAATAATAATAATAATAATAGAATAGGGTCAAGGTCTCATGTTTAGCTAAATGAACCTGAGAATGACCCAACCCAACCCGGAAAAACCTGGGTTGAGTCATGGCTCAACCCGCTTACACAATTGTTAGGTCTAATTGGGACTATTTATGTATCCTTAGAAGGTTTCTCTCTTTCGTATTTACTATTTAGTCTTTATTCTTTATCATTTACTCTTTGAACTATTGAGTGTTCAAGTTTTTTATTATATATTTGGAATTTTTGGGTTAATTCTTTTAATTTTGACACTTTTCATGTATTTTTTTCTTTATTATATATATATATATATATTTAGGGATGACCCGTGCATCAACCCTAACCCGAACATTTAGGGCTAAGGTATATCATTTGCTAACCAAACCCAAAAGTAAACCAGACCTGAAACCAACCTACAATACCTTGACCTAACCAGAAAGTCAACCAACCCGAGATCAACATACAATATATCGACCCAACCCGAATCCGGCCCATCCAACCCAATTTCCGGGTCTAGGTTTGGCCATCTGTAAATTGACCAAATATGGGTTTACTGACCAAACCCAAAAGTCAAATATAACTTTTTAATATATAAAAGTGGGAAAATTCCTATATTTCTTAGTATAAAATATTTTTATATCATAAATTTAATTTTTAAGTTTAAACCTTTTGAAAAAACAAACTAAACCAAAAATAGGCCTAAACCGATACAACCTAAGTTGGCAGGTTTTCACTAATGTTTAGTTGGTTTCGAGTGACAAATTCCTAACCTGATCATGTCGATTTGGTTGGCAAAACAACCTGCAACCAAAATGAACCAATCCTTGAACACTCCTAATTTCAACTAAATTAATAGTCTAATCTCTCTAATAAACAACAATAGTTTAATCTCCAACAATTATTAAAAATTTATAGCAAAAATACACAATTATTGAAAATAAATTTATAAAAGAAATACAATAGATATCTAATAATAATACAATAATCACAAAAATACAATGAATACTAAAAATATATTAAATTAGTCAATAAATAGTATGATCTCAACTAGTAGTTTAGTGTCTAATAAATATTAACCAATAAATTATAAGAAATACATAATTACTAAAAATAAATTTATAAAAAATACAATAAATTAAATTTCAAAAGTTAAACAATAGTTGTTTAATGTCAATAATTATTGACAATTTTCTATTAAGTAACAAAACAAAAATATATTTTTAAATAATTGTTGAAAACATATTTATTAAAAAATACAATAAATAATTACTAAAAATACAATAAATATTAATTTTAGTATATATAAATATATAATCAATATACACTATTATTGTAAAATTATTACTAATAAATATTAAAATTTTTAAATTTATTATTATATAATTATTATTTGATATGGATGAAATTAATTATTTACAATATTATTTAATTGTTTAAATAATATTTTCATTTAAAATTTTAAGATATTAATTAATTATTTAATTTAATAATCCATAAAACTATAGTTAGTACTATTATTAAATAATTCGTTATTAATTTTGTAAAATATTAAATTATTAAATTTATTATAATTATTTGTCTACTTTTAAGAACATTTTTAAGTTTATTACATAATTTCATTGTTTTTAACTATTTAAAATTTAGTCATGTTAAATATTTCATTATTTAAATATTTAAATAATATGTAAAATATTTAATTTTTTTTATTATTTTAATTATTTTAAAAGTTATTACATAATATTAAATATTTTGTTACATAATTATTTAGCTGTTTTTAATGTTTTGTTATTTAAGATATTTMGTTGTTGAAATATTTAAATAATGTTTTGTTTTTCAATGTTAATTTTTTATTTCTTGAGTAACATTTAAATTGAATAAATCGTAAAGTTATAATTTATATTGTTACTACATAATTTCATGATGAATTTTGTAAAAATATAGAATTATTAATAATATAAATATTATAAAATCTATTATAATTATTTTTTGTGTTTTGAAAAAATATTTTAAAGTTAGTATATAATTTCATTATAGTATTTAAATAATTCTAAAATTTTTTAATTGAAATTTTCTTTAAATAGATTTAGATAAAAAGTGTGGGAGAGGAAAGGATAAATAGGAATTAGAGATATTTTATGAGAGAATATATCTACTAAATTAGAGCTAACTTAAGAGATAAATAGGAGTGAGAGATAATTTAGGAGATAGATAGGAATTGGAGACAATTTAGGAGAAAGTGGGGGAAGTAGTGCCACTTGTCTAAAAATTAGAAAAGCAAATCCCCCATTCATTATTGTTGTTAGAAGTAGTTAAGCCTATGTTATTTCTTTATTGGTTCAATGGGTAATTATGTGTAATTAAAAAAAAAATTAAAACAAACAGTAAATTAGGAAGGAGAGTTTGGAGCAATGAGAGACATGGTGTTGTGGACTATCTTGAATGAGGTTGCTTGAAGGAGGTTGTAGGCCTTTAAGCTTGCTTGAAGGAGGTTGTAGGCTCCTTAATAAAGATGCAAATGGATAATGATGAGGGGTAATTTGGCCCAATCTTTCAACACCTGGACATGTGGAGGTGACCTGCTGATTGGATGATGACTCAGCATTCCCTGCCACCTCAGTGAGTTAGGTCAGCTTGGGTACCTTGGGCACATCGGCCAAGACTGGGGTTTGAGCAGCTCGTGATGGCCCGACTTGCTAAGGTGATACATAGCCAACTTCTAGAAGCTAGCCAATTGTCTTCGAGCTCTCGGTGATTACACTGCATGTCTACAAGCTTTATCTTTACCCCAACCGGATTGGATGGACTCGATAAGACTTATCAGCTAACACTAAGTCCACCTCCTGGTGTGGAACATATTCCTAGTAACACGAGCCAGGGATCTTGGAGGTGTTTCATAAGACTTACGACAACTTACCTATATAAGGGCACTTATCTCAACGTCACAAGGTACACACGATTATTTGTTTGCTAGCCTTATAGCATACAAGCTTACAGCTCGCACACAGAGTACTAACTTAAGCATCAGAGCACCCACACCAGGTCCTCTGAGTGTCATTTTTTTATTTTTATTTTTTCCCTTGCAGTTTGACCAACTAGCAAAGCGGACCGACGTCCGAACTACCATCCAACTAAGAGCATCCAAATCGCACACTATCAGATAAGATCGGATTTGAATAAGGATAAATTTGAATCCAACCTTATAATATAAATCTTATGTCTGATATGACCTGGTCCAATTTAATTTTTGTAAAATTTAACAAATTGTTAAAAGAAAAAACATAACATTTTATATAAATAAAAAACAAAAATACAAGCAAATTTTTTCCATGTACATGTATGTGTGATCGGATCAGATAGGGGTGATCCAAATCCGATATGTAAATCCAAGGGGAGGGGATCACGGTTCATTTGCATCCCTATTAGAGGTGCAATTCGAGTAGCAGATTAGGGTTAGGATTTTATCAAATTTTGAAGGGACCTAAACCAAGCCCATGCCAAAAACAGTGTAAAGTGTTAAATCAGACCAACCCGAGTTGCACCCCTAATTCCTATCCGTTTAAGGTTGAAGCTAAAACATAAAGCAATACATATTCAGTAAGTTGTAAGTTGTAACTCACAACATCGCTCCAATATCCTTTGTTACTGTGGCTCAGTTTGAAAGAAGAGTATAAATATAAATATATAGTGTAAATGCATACAAAATAATGTTTTACATATATATATTTTTATTATTTTGTATATATTTACAGTCTAATATTTGTATTTGTGCTCCTTTTAAACTAAGCCCGTAGAGTGTAGTGCATTCGAAATGGGGATAATTTTGTCTTTCCAAATAAAATCTCAGCCAGGCAACTCCTGGATTAGTGTTATAAACTTATAATCATACTTTAACGAAGAAATTCAACAGAAAAAGTTAATGACGAAATTACCCATGTGATTTAAAATGACGAATTCGCAGCAATGCCAGCTAGAATCCCATTAAAAAAACGCATATAATATATAATATAATAAATATATAAAATCAACTAATACACCGAAAACTAAGAATTCTACATCTCAACCATACGCACTAAAATCTCTCTTTCACACACACACACTCTCTCTCTTCACTTTCTCATCTTCATCTACAAAAACAAAAACAGTCCGTTTCGATTGTTCGAACGTAGAAAAATAGAGATATAGAGAGAGCTTTTGAGATTTATCATTTCCTAGGTTTTAGAGGGAGAGACAAGTACGGATGCCCAGAGAGGGGATGTCGACTAACTTCAGCCCTTCCCGAAGCCCGGGAAGTGCGAGATTGCAATTCGGTGGGGCTTCTCAGAGGTTGAGATCTTTGTCTTTAAAGAAACCACCTGAGCCGCTTAGACGTGCCGTCGCTGATTGTTTGTCGTCTTCGTCTTCTTCTCACCATGGAAACCTTTCTACAGTCGCGTCAGAGGCTTCAAGAACGCTTCGGGTTCGCAATTTCACTCCTTTTTTTTCATGGATTTTCGTGTTGTTTATATATTTTTTTTGTACCCTGGGTTTGCTACCCTTGAAATTCGAGTTGGATGGTATTTGCTGTTTTTGAAATATTGCGTGTATTGTGATATATTTTATTTTTGACGTGGATTTAATTTTAGCTTAGTAGCTCGGATTATTTGTGCATTGATCAGGAGGGCTCTTCTTGCAATTCGATGGGTTCATTTCGGGTCATATTGCTCAAATTGGGATTATTCTCTGTTTTTTTTTGGTCAATTGTTCGATTTTTGAGCCTAGTCAATGCGGAATTTTGTTCTGAAAGTCGAATCTTTAAGATACTTATTTGGAAAGAAATAACAAGGTCGAGCCTTTAAGCTGCTTCTTTTATAATTTTTCTGTGGGATTTGCCTTACTAGAGGTATTGGAAATGAGCCTGAACAACCAAAAATTGCGTCACTGGAAATACGTGAGATAAACGAGTTTTTGAATCTGCCTGTTTTGTTTGCATCTTCATTATGACAAGCGTTTTTCTTTGCATCTAAAGGAGGAAGTAAAGCTCTCTATGCATGCATTTTACAGCGAGCCTGTGTTGTAATTGCTGATAACATGTAGATGGGTTTCTAGGTTGGCGATACTTTCTTGAATGATAAATGCTTGCTTAAGATGCTCTGGTTTGCCAATTTTGGTTGGAGTATTGGAGTCAACACCACCATTGCTGTGTTATAGAATGTTGACAATTTCTTTTTTTGGGAATCAGAATTGTGTGTGTGTTACATGTGTAGTTGCATGTCGTTAATGCTATTATTTTGGCATAGCAACATTGTTCTTGAATGATTTGGATAGCTTGGTTAGAAAAATCACTGGCCTCATCCAACCTGCATGTATTATTCTGCCGATTCCAATAGAGATTTACTTGCATTGTATGGCTCCAGCAGTTGCCTTTGCATCATCATGATCATAAACCACTGAAGAATTTTTAAGGGAATAAGTTAGTGTGTTTTCTAGTATAGCGGACCATATCTCTTAGAAACTTCATTTGGGACATTGGGTTATAAAACCCAAGCTTTAGACTTTTAACCTTTCAGCAGGGATTATAGCAGCTCTTAACTTGACATACCTTATTTTGTTATTGAAAATAAGTACATTGTCTTTGTTTTCATATTAAGAACAGGCTAGTTTTTGGTGGCAGGATTATCTAGCAGCCCCTTCAACAACTGACCTGGCTTATAGTGTGATATTGGACCATGCACTTGCTGAGAGGGATCGCAGGTATATGAAATAGATCTTTTAGAAGTGAAATATATTTGGCAGTTGCTGATACTGGTAATATATATGTTTATAGTATGTGAGTTGAAGTTGACTTGGCTCTTTTTCCCTCATCCAATGTTACTTTTACATCTCCTTAATGATATTTCTTTTCATCGTTGCCTCTTTGTTTATATAGGCTTTATCTGTGATAGTTGGGGACCATAAAACATAAGAAGTTTATATATATTCCATTCCAGGAAATTGAAGGGGGGTGGGAGGGGTTGTTCTTATATTTGAAGATATCAGGTTCCAAGTTGATAAGAGCAATGCCTTTGATATCATAATTTGCACCGAGAAAAATGATTCTCGAAACCTGTATGCATCTTACCTGTTGACTGTGTAAACCAGTCTACTTACCCACCACCATTTTGAATATTCTCTTCAAGCGAACTAAAAATGAGATTTTAGCCCTTGTATTTGAAGATAACAGGTCTTGAAGTTGGTATCAATGACTCTTGACACCAGGAGTTTGTGTACAAAATCTTTGATCATCTCAATTGGGGCCCACTGCTAATCTCCCGTTTTTAGCAATTTTGAGTTCTTTTCTTTATTTGCTTGCAGGTGGAATCCTCCAAGAGGCATGAATGACCTATTCAATTGTTCCTTCTTTTATCCTTGTAAGAAAAGAGGGAATTTCACGCGGAGATGCACTAGGGTAGTGGGGGATGATGAGGGTATAGCTGTATGTGTCCTGTTTAGTTTGGAGTTGGTGTTTGAAAAGGAAACTTGCTGATAAAGCGGGGCTTATTTTGAACACATGGCAAGGTTTTTGCTCCATAAATAAAGGATTGAGAGTGGAAGATTGGATTTCCTTTGAGACAAGACTAACTTGCCATATAGAAATTTGCTGGGGCATTTGGACTTGTTCACTAAATAACCTGACTAGCACCCTATACTCATCTTTCTATGTATCAAAAATATGTTCTTTGCCATGGGCAGCCTCTCTGTGCATCTACAGGGGTTAAGGTTATACACGTTTGACCCTTCCTAGACCCTGCATTGGTGGGAGCCTCGTGCACTGGGATATGGGCAGCTTTTATTATTGGAGCAAAGCTCTGATAAAAGGTTGGTTATGCGGTTGATTATTGTTTTAAACTTCCAGAAAGCTGAATTAATTCCACTGGAACACTTCTACTTGCATGCCAACTGAGTTGAAGCTTACCTGGTTGAAGTTTCGGTCAGATTTCATAATTTTTGCTCAAATTTCAGTTAAGTTTTGGCTGTTTTGATCTAATTGTTACAGCCATAGCATAAAAATACATAGATTTTTTTGAAGCACGAAATATGCCAACTCATGAATTATCCTCTTTAGAAGTACAAGCTTTGTTCCAATCCACCAAACAATGCTGTTTTTCTCTGGATCTGTCCTCTATGAATTACTCAATCCTTTTCCAAAGCTTTTGCTACTGGCACGGAGATGGAGGAGACAGAAAATAGATCAGAAGGTTGGCTAAAGAACTTTTAAGAAAGTTTGCCTAAAATACAACATTAATAAATGGGGGAGGGGGGGACTCTGAAGCAGTAATCAGATGGATGCAGGAGGGCAGTGAAACATCCTGGTCTTTGATGCTATCATCAGAGGTGGAACTTTTGGCATCTAGATGGAACAGCTTAGTCAAGTAGGGTTCTAAGGCTGGCTAACTTGGTTGTGGATGCTCTTAGTAAGGGGTGAATAGGGATGGGTTATGTAGGACTAAGGGCTAGGTGTCAAGGGCTATTATTCTTATCTATCAATAAGGGGCTAGTATTCTTACCAAACAATAAAGGGCTAGTATTCTTATCAATCAAAAAGGGGCTAGTGTTTTTGGGTACGAGGGTCAGGCTTAGTCTCTTTCTGTTTCTTGGTTAGATTTATCTGTACATATTATATTTCTAACATAAACAAAATTTTCTACCAAGTTACTATTTGAAAAAATTATGGTGGAGATCATAAATTTGAACATTTTGTCATTTTTGTTTGCATGTTTGATTTTGCCACATCTTCTGCAACCTATCCACAAGAATCCATTCCGTTATATTCCCTTGAAAACTTTCCCAACATATTTCAATGCTTTGGCACATAATATATTCTTTGACTTTTTCCCCTGATTAGTTACAGTACTATTGGTTTTCCTTTTCTCTGATATGGACCGTTCTTTGCACCAGCCCAGCAGTAGTTGCAAAGTGTGTGGCACTTCTGAAGCGTTATCTTCTAAGGTAAGAACTGCTAGCAACAATTAGTTTGTTTTTCTGTTGTCAGGACATAGATATGTATGTATGTATAAACACTTGTATACATATGTCTATAAAATGAACCAATATGCGGTTTATTGACTGAAAATGGGAGACTGGTACATGAATAACATTATGATTACAGTTATTTTCATACCTAGTAACTGCAAAATGGGTAAATTTTTCATATTATTTGACCTTTCTCCTCTTTTATCACTAGCAAGATCAGAGAGCTTCGTTTTTTGTTAATAGTAAAATAATAATATAAAGACACATGGTAGAATGCAATATATATATATATATTTTTTATTTTTTATGGTGGCCGCTGCTCAACCAGGAGTACATTATATTAAAATAAGTACAGCAACTATCCAGGGAGTGGAACTTCTCAATTCCATGTCCGTCTGAACAAAATCCAAGGCTCTTACTTCTGTTCTTGAACCATCCAATTGTTAGTCACCTCAATATTCACATGCTGGAAGCCAATATCTGCAAGTAATTTTGGCTTGAGGGAAGACTGGGAAGTCCCTCAAGCATGTAGGGTCTGAAAAAACTAGAAGAATCTTACTTGTATAAAAAAAAGAGCTAGAAGAATCTTGCTTGCTATATCCTTCAATGCTCCAATTGCTGACAATCCCAAGTAAGCAGATGAACTAGCAACATGAATCCATCTTTTGATCATGTCATCAATAGATAAAGTAATGCTATTTATTTCTTCCATGTGGTCCATAAAATGCAACCCTCATTTGTCTCATATGCCTTTCCCTTTTTTTTCTAGGGAAAAGAAGGCTGCTGTAAATAGAGATGGGATATCCAATGTAGGTTGCCAATGTGCATTTGAAAGGGTAAACATATGCCTCCAAGTCCCTGAAATATGAACACAGGGAGATTGCAGTGGGGGTTAGCAAGGGCTAGCTGACACTTGGGGTGCTTGGCACAATTGTTGTACATCATTTTCCCACTGATTAATAATTTTTTTTTTGAATTGTTATCAATCAAGAAAATATGAGCACAAGGAGAAAGGTTATTGGTTGTTTCATCGCTTGACTTAGACAGAACATATGGGGAAATAATAGCCATCTTTTTGTTCTTCATTCACACATTTCACAAGTGTTGACTTTTGTATGCATTACTTCCAAACAAAAAGCTCTAATCTTTGGAGGAGTTTAATCTGACCAGATGGCTCTGACTGGAAAAATAAGTGTGGCTGGAGGTGGGGTAGGTAATTGTCTGAGCTGTGAAGAAAGAAGAGAGTGATTAAAAGAAGTAAAGAGGAGCTCACTCAAGTTGCTGAAGTTGTGAAGCAATCCTTGTGAAGCTTGTCTGGTCTGATGTGTGGGGTTGGTGCGAGCGTGTTGTTTAGGTTTTTGTTGTTGGTTAGGGGATGCTTTAGAGTTGGGTTCAGGTGGGTGGTGGTTGTTTTCTTGTTTGAATAGTTGCTGGGTTGGCTTTGGTGGTGTTAGGAATATTTGTTTGAGATTTCTGTTTAATGGGTTGTATGTGGTGTTTGGAGGGGTGTGATGTTGGCTGAAGGCTTTTATTTTCAGTTTCTTCTTCTCTTGGGTGATTCCTTATCACCTTTGCTGTATTTTCTTTTTTCTTTTATTTTAATAACAATTTTGTTTTATCTTGAAGATGATGGATACTCCATAGGAGAAGAAACCTGCAGACCTCTTCTAAAACCATGGTCACAGGTAGTTGGCCTTCCTTAGAGATCATATTCACTCCTCATCCTCATTTTACTGCATGTGTGCTGTATGTTTTATGTCTGCATGTGCTTGTTTAAGGCACAGGTATGCTAAATGACTTGTCTAGTAAAGTGAACTAGATAATAAAAGGATCTTGCATAGTTGTCAGGGCAACACCTAGGCGACAAGGTTCTCTTGGAGGCTTGCCTTGCCTAATTGCCAAGCAGTTTTGTATATCATGTTCTAAAATACTTTTGTTTTTTTATTTTTTTTTTGAAGCCAATTTAAAATACTTTTATATTCTTAATTTCTTGAGATTATAATTATAAAATAGACATTATTAAACCAAAATATTCATTTTATGTGTTTACATACTAATTTCTTTTTATTATTTTCTTATTTGTTAGGGTTTAATCAACACATACATTGCTAACTGCTATATTGAACCCTCAAAGACTTCAAAACCTGAACCAACAAGGAAGAACTTAAAATTATGTCTAATCAACACATTTTCTTCTTCCACCTTTTTTTTTTCTTTTCCTATAACAAAAATAGGGGTTCAGCCCCTATATTTTTTGAATTTTCTTTTCTTTCTTCTTTTTCTTCTTATGAATATGTTAATTTTCTATACTTCTAACATGAAATTTATACTTTTCTTATGAAAATTATGGATAATTATTAAGGAAATATGGCTATAGAACCTAGGAAACTGCCCTAGGATATATGTTTTTTACTTAAAAAAATCCATTGCCTAGGCAACACCTAGGCGGGGGCCTGGGCAACTAGGTGACAAGGCACCCCCCTATCGCCTAGCCTCGCCTTGGACCTTGAAAACTATGGGATCTTGTAACTGGGAGTTCAACCGGAGCCTAAATAAACCCTATATTTTGGAGCATTATCCTCTCTTAATGGAGAGAAGCTATTGCTTGTGTAATGGTAATCTCTCAGGATGACAAGTTTGAGATTGTGGGTTTGAGTCTGAGAGCAGCCACTGGAGAGGATCAATGCAAATCCTAAGAAGGTTAAAGATCTCAAGAAAACTCCCAACACAGTCAGGTGCTTTGGGAGGCAGAAAAATATTCAAATGGTGCAGGTTTCTAAAATTTTTGCAAGGCTGGAAGGTGGCTTTTTTGGTGTGGATCCTATCGAAAAGGTGAAAACCTAAGAAATGTTCCAAGCGAAGCAGTGAGGCTCCTGCTCAAGCAGTTAAAAAAGTTAGATAATGGAGTTGACGTTTGTTTGTTGGTGGAGGCTTGTTTCTTTAGAGTTTGGTTTCTTGTAGTTTGTTAGAGTGTGGCTGTTGTTGTTGTAAAGTTTGATGGGGCCTGGGTGGTTGTCTTAACTTTTATGTTTTGGTGAATAGGTAGTTTGTAGTAGTAGGTGAAATATGTATTAAGGTGTTCAGTTTGTTGGAGGTTGTTTGTTGTCTTTATTCTCTTGGGTGACTTCTGGTCACCTTTGTTGTAGTTTTTTTTTTTTTTTTCTTTTATAGATTTTTATCTTATCTTAAAAAAACTGAGAGCAGCTACTTTATGCAAAAGAATTCCAAAGGTTTGGTCCGTATCCAGTCTACCCCTCCTAAGATCCCAGATGGTTTGGACTTAGGACCAACATTCAGTAATGGCCTTATCATCTTATTTATGGGGGACAGATTTCAACCAAATGCTCACTGCCACTTGCAAAGCATATTCATACAACCATATTTATGGTGTTTTGGAGCTTTTCAAAATTTCAGATGGCAAAACCTTTTTTCGTGCATTGGACAAAATGGTTAGCATGATATAAATTAGTTAACGGGCTAAAATTTATAATACAAAAAAGATGCTATCAAGTGTATGTTCTTACACTAGATCCTCTCTGTGGTATGGAGCCTGAAATTTAGGAGGCCTCTGCTGGATAGAGAAGTGGAGGAATGTATCTCTCCACTAGGAGAATTGGAAAGAGGGAAAATCTCAGGGAAGCAGAGGGATGAACTTTGGTGGAAAGAATGTAAGAATGGGAAAATTTCTGTCAAATCATGCTATATGGCCTTCAGTAGGCCCAACACAGACTCAAGTCAAATCAAAGGTATTTGGGGAAACCCGGTGCCCCTGAGAGTTGAAGCTTTGGCATGGTTGGTGGCAATGGATAGCGTCTTGACAGTGGATCACCCGAAATCAAGAGGATTCCATTTGGCTAACAGGTGCTGTCTATGTGAAGAGCAGGAGGAAAATGTCAGGCACCTATTTATCACCTGCAAGTTTGCTAGTTCCATGTGGAGATCATTTACTACCACGTTTGGGGTCCCTGGTTTCCACCCAGTTTTAGCTGCAGAAATCTTTTCTCCATGGCCTAAACTGGGAGGAAGCAAGAAGGTGAAGCTGATATGGAGCTGCATCCTTTTTTTCTATAGTCTGGAACATATGGAAGGAGAGGAAAAGAAGAACTTTTGAGGACAGAGCTTGCAGTATGTATAGGATGATAGCTGCTGTTAGCAGATCTGTGGCAGACTGGGTATTGGTTCTCCCAGAGTTTAGGCAACTAGATAAGGAGGGCCTGGGAGTAAGTTCAGGGACGTTCTGGGTATTCAAATCTGTAAAGTGGAAAACTGTTTCTGATTTTCAGATGTATTGTATTTGGGTGATGACTTGTCAACTATCAGATTGTACTACTCCTTTTGTTTTTTAATGACATTTACTTAAAAAAAATAAAGTCCTTTCTGGCTTTTGTGCTCTGAAAGTTTGGCTATCAGTTTAATGGTCAGAATGTCAGATATTCTGAATGGGTGGTTTGTTCTTTTGGACGTACAGAAAGTGAAAGGACGAATGATCTAGAAATAACTCATTTAAGCTGTGAAATGTGGATTTTGATGGTATATTCCTTTTACACGTTGCTGTTTGAACTAGATCCCTGTTGTGGACTGATAATAGCCACAGGTTAATGGTTCATTACTGCTATGGATGCATGGACACATTTATTATTGAGTTTGGGCCAAGGTTCTTTCTTTCCCATCTTGGCATGAGGAACCAATCCAAAAAATGGATAATAATTAATAAGTGGCCAATAATAAATGGATGATAAGCATTGGCTTCCTCCCTCTTTCTTTCTTTCTTTTCTTTTGAATCTTATGTCTATTATTGCTCATCTCCCCTTTGCTGCAGATATGTACCTAGTGAGCAAACTCTACAACAAATTGATCTGTTTTGCATAAATTCAATCTCTGAATGTGATTCTAGCACAAACAGACAAGTATCGCCATGGTCAAAATCTCTAGCCCAACATTCTGGGGCATCAACTACTGGAAATACCTTTTCTCCTGTGCCAGCATCTAGTTTTGCATCTGGTTCTCTGGTGAAGTCATTGAATTATATTCGCTCTCTTGTGGCTCGTCATATCCCAAAAAGGTCATTCCAGCCAGCAACTTTTGCTGGGGGATCCACTGTATCAAAACAGTCCCTTCCAACATTGTCATCTTTGTTGAGTAGATCATTTAATTCTCAATTAAGTCCAGTGACGGTTGGTAGCAGGGAATCTCCTGAGAGGAAAGAGGCTTCCAATCTATATATCTCAAATTTATCAAATGTTGAAAGTGGTGATGGGAGGGAAGATATTGATTATATTGCTATTGATGTCCTTAAATGGCGGTGGCCTGTGGAACAACAATTATCAGTGGTCATGACAGAAAGGTAACTAATTTGAAATATGTCATTTGATTTTGTTTACGATGGTTCTTAAATTTGAAGTTTAATTGACCTTGAAATGGTGTTTTTATCAGATACTTAGAAATGCTATTTTCACTTCTTTTACTGCTGAAAAAACTAATTCAGATTCCCTTGTGATACAGTGATGATGCAGCAAGACCCCAAGACATCAGTGCGCATAGTTTCCTAGAAGTGGGTGCTGCAGCTCTGCTTGTTGGAGACATGGAGGCTAAGATGAAGGGCCACCCTTGGAAACATTCTGCAACTGAAGATACACCTTATCTTGATCAACTTTTGCAACCTTCAACTGTTACGACTGCAACTAATTTTGATTCTGCTTCCTCTCACTTGAGAGCAGTAACTGCATCTAAACGCTCGAAACCAGGCCCTCATCAAATTTGGCATGTTCTTCCTGTTCCTTTTTATTGGGTTGCATTTACTTCTGCCCTATAGTTTCTGGTTGTGTTATTATTATGCATATGTAAGGTCTGCCTGATGATTAGACTATGTAAATTTGTAAATATGTGAATGAGCATGCACATATGCGGGGTTGGGGTGTGCTCTCAGGTGTTTGTGTGTGTGTGTGTTTTTTTTTTTTTTTTTTTTTTTTTTTTCCGGGGGGGGGGGGTAGATTGGAGAAAAGGTGGCCTAATTAGTCAGGTTTTTATACACAGCCACACATTGTGACATAATGGTGTGGGCAATCCATACTTCTTATTTGATCTGGATTGGTCAGTCTATTCAAACCTACATCCCACCTACTATTTATTAGAGCCTTCCCAAGTAATGCTAGCCGTATTTTTTTGTAAATAAAAAAATCTAGTATTGTCTTATTTTGGATGTGGCATTGGTTTAGGCTAGAGAACCCATAAAGGCAATAAGGAAAATAAAAACAGTAGAAAGGGGAACATGTAGGGTTCTTTTAGGCCTGATCATATTTCTCCATGGAAGATTTCAGGAGTTCTTTGCAAAATGACCTTGCTTTAATAGATTTTATGTGTATGCACTTTTGTATGTACTAGTAATTAAGCACATGCGTTGCATGTGAAAAAATTTTCTTCATATTAATTAATTGAATTTTAGATATATCATAGTTAAGATAGAAATTGAAAATTAACAAAAGTAACAATATGATTAAAAATAAACTTAAATGCTTGTAGCAAATAACAGTTATTATTATTATTATTATTAAATTTTGCATTCCATTTCTATCATAAATAAATATGGCTTTTATTTTAACAATTATTTTTATTTAATATGATGAATATATAACATCGGCAATGCTCTCAAATGTTTTTGACAAAATTCTGTACATTTTCATTTTTGGTGCTCTATCTTTTTTTAAATATTTATTATTCAATTATGACATCATGGGTTTCTTTGAAAAGTTGGATAATTGACCCACCAATTTAAGATAGAAAATAGCTTGATTGTACAAGCGGTATAAGTGTGTAAGAAAAATAAAAAAAAGGACTATTAATACCAATTTTTATCAAATTGGTATCATTACACCAATTTGATAAAAATTCACAAGAAACTCTTGGCTATGAAATTTACACCAACTTGATAGAAATTTATAACTTGATTGTACAAATGGTTGGTCCCTTTAGTTCTTTTATACGATCTGATTAATATTATATAAGTTTGTAAGAAAAATAAAAAGAAAAGAATGAGAGAGGGAGCGAGAGAAAGACTGAGGGAGAATAATGAGAGAGATTGAGAGAGAGAGAGAGAGGGGGGGGGGGAGAAACAGAGGTTTTGATTTGGCTACAAACCAAAGTTGAGAGAGTGGGAGAGACAAAGGGAGCGGTAGATTGAGACATGACTGTGAGAGTTAGAGAGAAGGGAGGGAGATTGAGAAACAAAGGGAGCGGGAGAGAAATTGAAAACCTATTTTTGGTATAGGCTTTGTGCTATGTCCAACATGGATTAAGAGTCCCATGTTGGCAATAACCACATAAACCTTCGATGACATGGTGGGGGTTTTTATAATTTGAAATGTAGAGCCGGTTGTTAGAGTTTTGTTGGTTTTAGTGTCATCCTACAACCTAATTTTAAATGTACAACTGGCTTTGACTATAATTTTCCCTTTAAACTATATATTTCATGTAAATTATATAAATAATTTTTGCTTATTACACTTAATTTTTGTTTGTCTATGATATCATTTGACCCAAACCACTAACCACCACCTAAAAAGAAAAATAGTTTGATTTCTAGGTAGACATTATATTTTGTATTACATTTCCATCATTGATAAAATTATTTCTTATGTATAATACTTATTTTTGTTCAATATAATGAATGCATAATATTAGAGATGTACCCAATATTTTATTTTTTATAAATATATAGCATTAGATATGCACCCAGAATTTCCCTGTTTTTTTTTTTAAATTTTTGTGATTCTTTGTATTTTCTATTTTTAAAAATTTTATTATTTGACTATGACATCATTTCATTTCTTGGTAGATTTTAAATTTGGCATTCCATTTTCATCATTAATAAAAATACTCCTTACATTTCATACTTATTTTAATTTTTTATTATTTAATTATGGCATTATTTATTAATTCATTTAACCCCAAATGGCTGAATTTCTTGCCCACCACCGGAAGGGAAGAAAATGTTTTTGTTTTCAAATTATTTTTCAAAATATTTATTTTTATACTATTAAAATTAATATTGTGGATTTAATTACAAGAATTTAATGATGAGAAAAATATATCTTAAATATAGGATTTAATGAGAGAGAATAGGAAATCATTTTTATTTCTTTGGTTTGAAAATTTACATTCCATTTCCATCATTAATGAAAACATTTCTTATTTATCATACTTATTATCGTTTAACATGTATGTTAAAAATGTTCACAATTTTTTTTAATTTTATTTTTTAATCGTGGCAACATGGATTGACCCATTTGACCCAAAATGGTTAAATTTCTTACCACCACCTAGATGAAAACACTATTTTTTCTAGGTAGATTTTTAAAAGTATAAGCTTTTGTGTTATTGGAATTATTAATTTATTAAGTATGGATTTAATTAATTGAACTTAATGATGAGAAGAAACAAAAATGACAAATATATGATTAGTAGTCGATGAAGACTACAATCCGTCTTGAATTCGAAAAGAAAAAGAAAAGATTTTAGAAGAAAAGAAGAAGAGAGGGAGAAAAGTAGAAGCACACGAAGGGTTTTAGAAAAGAGAGGGTTGATCTTAATGATCTGTTGACCCACTCTTAATATTTATATATGTTGACTAATTGTAAAAGGGCTGAATTGCCCTTATTGCTTACATGGCAAATAAACTAATAACAAGCTGTAACAACAAACTGAAATAACTACCAATAACTACCAACTAACACTGACATAATTAACAAAACATATGCTATGCTGCCATACGAACACAGTG